GAATTTCAGGCCTAACAAGCATATGGGATTGGTTATAACTGGGGGTGAGAATGGGACTTAAGAAATTTTCTCTGCTCCAAATGCATACCTTAAATATGAGATCAGACCTGTTACCTGCTGGCTCATGGAGAAACGGGCATGTCAGATTACACAGCAAATTCACGTTTGTTTCTACTGCTCAGCATAGATCAGATGGACTGCACATCTGGTAAATGTTTGCACATGAAATGTGCATCTGCCAAGCACTGTGGTTTCCTGGTACATCCCATCCCAGTGGCTCTGTGTCAAGGTCACAAAACCAGCGTTACAGAGATTTGGTGATCTGGAACTGCATTCTGCTGTTAGTTGTTGAGAAAGTTGCTCTCTTAATTCCTTTGAAGACCCTCCATGTTGCCATTAAAGGCTTGGAAAAGGACTTGGGTGATTCAGAGTCCATTCAGTTGTTTGAAGCCATCCCATAGGGATGAGAATCTTGCCTAAGAAAAAAGTCTCCCCAGAAAGTTCTCCCAGTTTTTCTCATTGACCCATTTTCTTGTCTGGTTGTCTCATTGAAAGTTTCATTTGCTAAAAAAAAAAGTGGGTATATGTATAGGTATCACTGGTTCACTTTGCTGTACACTTGAAACTAATGCAAATTGTAGATCAACTATACTTTAATAAAAATCATCTTTTAAAGCTTCATTCTAAATACTAACTTAAATCTTGCCTAACTTAGCTTTGACACCTTGCTCTTCATGGATGTGAAGAGCATCTGATTTTCATATAAACTGTAATACTAGAGATACCAATCAGTACTTTGTTTCATAAAAGCAAAGCAAACTAAAGAACACAAAAGTCATCCCCAAACAATTCAAACTAAATTAAGTTAGGAAAATAGGATTTTCTGAATGCAATGTGACTCAAAGCAGACCTGTTAGTTAGCAAGTCTGCTGGTTAGACTCAAAGGCTGACATTTTGATGTTGTTTATATTCTCAACATCCTCAATGAATTCTGTCCTAAAAAGCCAGGTAACATCAATATAATTGATCAACTGGTTTATTTTCTATTGTTTTAATTCAGAAAGTCATTGAAGAATTTCATAGTAGTTATTTTTTTCCTCTAGGATTATGAGGGAGAAGGACAAATACTTATCTCTTGAAAAGTGGACTTTTTTGGTAGATAGATCCATATAAATTCAAGGATGAGGGAAATTTTCTATCAAGTTACCTTTATCTAGTTTCTAGAAAGAAATAATATAATATTCCTATTATTCCAGGTGAGGGAATCAAAGTGACTGGTCTTAGTGTAAATGTCACTGAAGCTATGCAGATGGTATTCTGCTGTGCTTGATCATGTCAGTATTTTTCTATTTGGTGAATGAATTAACATTGGTTATGTTTTTGATGTTGAACTTGAAAAGTAGTCAGGACATGGATTTTTTAAACATTTCTGTTTAGTATTTGTATTATATAAACAATTCTGTTCAGTTTTTGTGCTCTGTTGATTTTTGGGAAGAGTATTTAAAATACGGTGGAGAAAAGCACAAAGTGTTGAATAGCAGGCATGATACTGATACTAACTTCTATAAATAGATACATCTTTAAAGGTGTATCTGGTTTTAAAACAATAATGTGTTCTATTAAATAATTAATACATTTGAACTTTACAAGTCACAAATATATTTAAAATCTAAAATTTTAGAAAACCCTAAAGACACCACCAGAAAATTACTGAGCTAATCAATGAATATAGTAAAGTTGCAGGATATAAAATTAAAACACAGAAATCCCTTACATTCCTATACACTAACAATGAGAAAACAGAAAGAGAAATTAAGAAAATAATCTCATACACCATTGTGATGAAAAGAATAAAATACTTAGGAATAAATCTACCTAAAGAAACAAAAGACCTATATATAGAAAACTGTAGGACACTGATGAAAGAAATCAAAGATGACACAGACAGATGGAGAAATATACCACATTCATGGATCAGAAGAATCAATATAGTGAAAATGAGTATACTCCCCACAACAATCTATAGATTCAGTGCCACCAATGGTATTTTTCATAGAACTAGAACAAATAATTTCACAATTTGTATGGAAATACAAAAAGCCTTGAATAGTCAAAGTAATCTTGAGAAAGAAGAATGGAACTGGAGGAATCAACCTGCCTGACTTCCGACTATACTACAAAGCCACAGTCATCAAGACAGTATGGTACTGGCACAAAGACAGAAATATAGATCAATGGAACAAAATAGAAAGCCCAAAGATGAATCCATGCACCTGTGGACACTTTATCTTTGACAAAGGAGGCAAGAATATACAATGGAGAAAAGACAATCTCTTTAACAAGTGGTGCTGGGTAAACTGGTTAACCACCTGTAAAAGAATGAGACTAGAACACTTTATAATACCGTACACAAAAATAAACTCAAAATGGATTAAAGATCTAAATGTAAGACAAGAAGCTATAAAACTCCTGGAGGAAAACATAGGCAAAACACTCTCTGACATAAATCACAGCAGGATCCTCTATGACCCACTTCCCAGAGTAATGGAAATAAAAGCAAAAATAAACAAATGAGACCTAATTAAACTTAAAAGTTTTGCACAATGAAGGAAACTATAAGCAAGGTGAAAAGACAGCCTTCAGAGTGGGAGAAAATAGCAAATGAAGCAACTGACAAAGAATCTCAAAAATATACAAGCAACTCCTCCAGCTCAACTCCAGAAAAATAAATGACCCAATCAAAAAATGGGCCAAAGAACTAAACAGACATTTCTACAAGGAAGACACACAGATGGCTAACAAACACATGAAAAGATGCTCAACATCACTCATTATCAGAGAAATGCAAATCAAAACCACAATGAGGTACCATTTCACACCAGTCAGAATGGTTGCTTTCCAAAAGTCTACAAGCAATAAATGCTGGAGAGGGTGTGGAGAAAAGGGAACCCTCTTATACTGTTGGTGGGAATGCAAACTAGTACAGCCACTATGGAGAACAGTATGGAAATTCCTTAAAAAACTGACAATAGAGCTGCCATATGACCCAGTAATCCCACTGCTGGGCATACACACTGAGGAGACCAGAATTGAAAGAGACATGTGTACCCCAATGTTCATCACAGCACTGTTTATGATAGCCAGGACAAGGAAGCAACCTAGATGTCCATCAGTAGATGAATGGATAAGAAAGCTGTGGTACATATACAGAATGGAATATTACTCAGCCATGAAAAGGAATACATTTGAATCAATTCTAATGAGGTGGATGAAACTGGAGCCTATTATACAGAGTAAAGTAAGTCAGAAAGAAAAACACCAATACAGTATATTAACACACATATATGGAATTTAGAAAGATGATAATGATGACCCTATATGCGAGACAGCGAAAGAGACACAGATATGAAGAACAGACTTTTGGACTCTGTGGGAGAAGGCAAGGGTGGGATGATTTGAGATAATAGCATTGAAACATGTATATTACCATATGTGAAATAGATGACCAGTCCAAGTTTGGTGTTTGAAACAGGGCAGTCAAAGTCAGTGCACTGGGACAATGGGAGGGAGGTTTGGGATGGGGACACATGTACCTCTGTGGCTGATTCATGTCAATGTATGGCAAAAACTCTCACAATATTGTAAAGTAATTAGCCTCCAATTTAAATAAATTAATAAATTAAAATTTTTTTTTTCAAAATTTTGCCAGTGACCCATATTAGTGACACATTCTTACCATCTGAAGTCCTTTTGTTAAAAAATGACAGTATTGTACTGAGTCTTGACCAAATTATTTTATAATGTAGTTGATATTCTTTTCATTGAGTATCTGAAAACAGACTTCCTTTGGCCAGAAACAAGCTGAAAATTCAGCCAAGTGGCAACCTAAAGGCAGCCAAGTGCCAGGATGCTGTGGTCAGAGTAGGTTTTGGTTTCTGTCATTCACCAATTACCGTATGTTCTCTTTGCACTTGAGCAGAGAACTTAGCTACTTAAAAGCTTTCCGGTTTCCTTACTTGACAAACCAGGAGCAACCACTAAAAGTAAAGCTCTGTAGAGGGTTTCAGAAAGCTGGGGTCAGTGCCTCATTCAACAGCAGCTGCTCTGGACCAACGATGCACAGTTGACCTAGTGGTGGGACAGTTTCTCATCAGTCCAGGGTTTCAAACGGATTTAAAGAAATGCCCATTTAATACAGAGGAAGTTGTTTGCTTGAATAGCAGCGTTATTGTAAATTGTATAATGTTAAAGGAAGATGGAATATTTTAAGGGTTTTGTGGGGCAAAACTTAAGATGTGGCTTTGAAGGAGTCAGTGGTGCTTAAATGAAGTTAGTGGTTAGAATGATCATTTTTAGGGTTTTGAGAAAAGAGAAATCTTTCTGATTTTTTTTTTTCCTGGAGGGTCAGAATTTTGTTTTTATGTCCCAGCTTATTGACTAGCTGTACTTTTTGCTAAATGCATTTAGATAATGGAGTTACATAGAATGGGAGACTGTCCAACTATAACATTTCAACATAGTTGTCAGAATGAAATCGAATATGTTATTATTTTCATCAAATGGCTCATTGTGATGTGTCTTTTCCAGCTAAGGACTTGTAAAATAGAGCAATGTCTGGATAACAATAGCTTGTACATATTGTCACTGTTTTTATGTTTTGGTTGGGTCAAATCTGCTGATTTTTAAAAACACAATCTGGCTTTCAAATATATTAACTATGATTTTATTGTTCATGTCTACCATGTTCCAAAGAGATTGAGATTTGTTAAGTATCAATCACTTATTGAAATAAGGCATGTAGGTATCAGAATGAGAAGTATTAAAATAATTAGCATTTTTGTTTTAATTGTGTCTAAAATTATAGACTATAATTATACATTATAATGTATCTTTTTTGCATAAAACTGTAAATCCATATAAGAAATAATGGAGTTCAGTTAGAGACAGTGATTTGTCCTCTTTATTTAAAAAATAATGATTGTTTGTCTACTATGCTTACATCAAAGATTGTGAAGCATCTGAGATTTCACCCTACTTGAAGTCTAAGAAGTTACTCTGCCATTGTTTCAGATTGGCATACCGGAGACTCTTGGATCAGAGGCAGAGGACTTTATTACAACACAGCAGACAGTACGAGCTTCATATTTGCTTTGGTTCATCTTGTTCTCAAGTCCCAGGAGGGACCCAGGTAGATTCTGCTTACACAATGGTTTATGCCACAGCAGAGGAACTCTGAACTTAGGAAATCCGTTTTATAAAAAGGGTACTAGAACACTTGTCCAAGATTTGTACTGTAAGAAGTAGTCATCTGTACTAAACCAGCCAGGAAACAAATCCCTCATCCCAGGAGAGAGATACTTACTATTTATCACCACAGCTATTTGGGATATTCCCAGCATCCTTGGGAATAGTCTGGACAAAGCTGATCCAAAGGCACAGAAACACTATGCAGAACTGTCTTCCAGTGCTTTACAGTTAAATTAAAATGGGAAATTTTAATATACATTATAGATCAATTAATTTAGTTCTTATCAGGTGGAAATGTTTTTGGTGATTATCCAGAGGAACCCTGGTTCATTTTGTTACACTGGTAATAGTACATGATATAATATTCCTGAGTATCTTTGATTTAAAGGCAGTTTTCCATGAATACATTATGCAAGTATAGTTTTACACTGATTAGCAATGTTATATAGTTTCTGAAATTAGAATTATTCCTTCAACTGTGAAAACCAAATCTGTTGAAATCATTTACTGGTGGCCTCCAAAAAACTTTAATGTACTTTGTTTGCCAACATATACAGAAAATGACATATTCTTCATATATATGAAGAATATATATAATATATATATAAGTTCATATAATTTTATATTAAAATGTAATGATTTAGTTATTTGGAAAAGCAAACTGGTGCTTTGCACAAAGCATGTTGTAAATTGAAGAATATAGCCTATGGCATCCAAATAAAGAATGACTAAAAATATAAAATAAGAAATTACAGGCCTTTTCCTTCATATTGCCTCCATAAAGGACACTTTTACTTTTCAGTGGAAAGAGAAAGATAAAATCAAGATGACAAAGAAGCAAAGAATATAGAAAAAGACGTGTTATATCCTCCCTTCTACTGGTGTTATTGTCACTACCAACCTTTTTTCAAATGAACACAACTAATATGTGGATTGATTATCATGGAAAGTATTATTGGTAGGACTACTGTTTATCCCAGAAGTGATTGGTCCCATCATGGCTCATCTAGGGGTTGCATTTTTTTTTTTTAATTCTGAATAGACCAAGGATATATCTTCCCTCAGTATGTACCTTCTCAGCATTTAATAAAAAATAAAAATATGAGCCACTCAAGTGAGATTTCTTTAGAATGAGAGTGAAAATGTAAAGGATGGGAAAAGCAAAGTACATAAAACTAGCTTGTTTGCCTACCATTGCCAAAGTCATCAACTAAGCTTAGTTTTCTGAAATCTGGGAGCTCTAACCTGTGATCCACTTTGAAATTCCTCTAATACCTCCCTGGGAGTCCCTTTTTTTCAAAACAAAGGGCTTAAACTGAATGAAAATATATCCAGTTGACAATCACACTGCAAATCCTCTAGGCTCAAAGCCAGAGTATATTTTTATACATTGTTTTTTTCTTAGCCTTAAATGTAGCCAGATGAATTTTCATTTAGTGCTATCCTATCAACCGATTTAATGAATTATATGTCTTCTAATGGGAAATCTGCATTTCATCACAGAGATGGGTTATATGCCTAAAACTTTACTCCCTAGAGAACTAGAACCTCTTTCATATTATATTCTTTAAATGTACTAAAGACTCAGATTATATAAAAGTTTCATTCTAGGCATGATATCTTAGAGCTTTACAGATGTATAGATTGAAAAAACATGAAAAATATAACCGTCACTATCATGCAAGTGTGTGTGTGTTAGTTGCTGAGTTGTGTCCGACTCTTTGCAACCCCATGAACTAGCCCGCCAGGCTTCTTTGTCCATGGGATTCCCTAGGCAAGACTACTGGAGTGGGTTGCCAGTTCCTTCTCCAATCATGCAAGTGAGTGAAATATAATAAAAATTTTGTGGGCAATATTATTAAAATGTTTTACAATTAGTTGTTTGTGAAATCATAATAGATTAGAAGGCAAATACTTTCAATTTTAAAAGGACTTTCCTGTCCATGGCCAAACATGAAAAGCAAATGCAAGCAATGAAATTGTGTGTGGTAGGTTTGTTTATTTCCTTTTAAGTTATTATTATTTTAAATATCTAATCTACTCCCTTTAGAATGTTTTATTCTGAAATGAAAGCACAACCCAGAAACACTGATAGTAAAAGTATAGAGCTTATGTCAAATCTGAAACAGAAGGCTAACCAACAAATTTTTGTTTTTACTTTATTGCTTTACTCTTTGGGCAAAGGATTGTGAACATGGTGGTTGAGTTCTAGCATGAAACCTAAGACTTAGAAAGTTCAAATGAAGTTTTATTCATCAAGGTCTTCTAAGTGCCCATCCTTGAGGCAAGCCTCTATTGAATTGGTGGTTTTTTAATGTGGTTGATTTTGTCCCTCACGGGTATGACTGGCATCCAATGGGTAATAGGCCAGAGATGCTGCAAACATTTAAAATGCTTCGCACAGACCCCATGATAAATTCTTATCTGGCCTCAGATGTCAATAGTTGAGAAACCCTGGACTTAAAAAACAGTAGTGCATTTACTGCATAAAGAGGAACCACAGCATATTAATTAATGAGAGGCAGACTTTTGCCTTAAATGCAGCATTGATGAGTGTGGTAGAAAACCGGGGCCACATGGCCTCAGAGGGACTTGATTCAAACTTTTAGTTCTGTCATTGTGTGATCAGCTTTTAAAAAATCTCTCTGAGCCACACTGTGCTGTTGTAAACAGAACCAATAGTTTAGTTGCTATGTCCAGGGCTTGTAGGATTAAGCGAAGTAATACATATAATTGTTTAGTCCATTGCCTGGTTCCTATAGGATCTCAATGAAGTCAGCTATTGTTCAGGAACCATTCAGGAAGAATCTTGCAGCAATTAGAATAGTCTAAAGATTGATGTTTAGCGGGCAGCAAGTTTCCTGTTTTTGAATAAGTTCAAACTGATGATGGACAACATCTTGTGTTCCTCCCATTTTTCTTAGTTATACAAGACTATTCCTAAATAAAATGTAAAACGATTGATGGCTTCCCTTGAGTCTTTAAGAAATTTTAGGCAAGGTTGACATAAAGTAAGCATAGAACTGATATCGTTACCAAATGCAAGTTCACGTGCCTGATACACAGGGAACCCTAAAAATACTGCAGCGTCAGAATCTGAGGCAGAGAAAGGTTTACTGCAGGGCCAAGCAAGAAGGTGGATGGCTCATGCCCTGCAAAATCCCAAACTCCCTGAAGGGTTTCAGCAAAGCACTATTTTTTCCTCAGCAGAGCACTTTTAAAGGCCACGTAAGAGAGGAGAATGGTTGGTTGCTGCAAACTCCTTGGTGTCGGAATCCTTTGTTCTTAACAGCTGTCCACAGGGGTCAGGTCATGATGTCCCTGCAAACCTCCAACAAGATAAATGATATATAGCACTCTTTTACAAAAGTTGCAGAGCCAGTATGACTAAGCACAGGCAACAGAACACAAGGGTTAAAGTAAAGGGAACTGTTCTTAACAGCTGTCCACAGAGGTCAGGTCATGATGTTCCTGCAAACCTCCAACAAGATAAATGATATATAGCACTCTTTTACAAAAGTTGCAGAGCCAGTATGACTAAGCACAGGCAACAGAACACAAGGGTTAAAGTAAAGGGAACAAACCTAATGTAGAATCAGATTTGTTCTTCCTATTACAGTGCTACTCAGAGATACTGAACTTGCTTTGTATTTTGACATTGAAGCGATGACTGTCATTCCTTGCACGCATGTTTCCTGAGTTCCCCCTGCTAACCAGTATTAGTTACTTGCTTGGATTTCCATAAGCTATTTTCTGTGTTTCTATAATCAAATTTTTTGGTATGCTCCTTATAGTGAAACACAGGGAAGCTTGGTGCGCTGCAGTCAGGTTGCAAAGAATCAGACACAGCATAGCAACTGAACAACAGCAATGCTTAGCACAAGTCCTGGTTGGCTATCTGATTCACTATCGAATATGACACTTACTGAACTCCCCTGTATGTAAGGTCCCATGGAATGCACTGGACATGTGCATTTGGCCACAGATAAATGTTTGTTCAATGAATGAATTAAATATATTAATAATAAATGTAATATTAAGTTTTTGCTATGTATTATGCAATATTATTAAAAATAAGCAATATGAGATACATCTTCAGCCCATACCTTAAAAGCTCTTAATATTATAGGATAAACAGGGTATATAAATAGTAACTTCTTCAGTTAAGAGCTTTTATGAAAATGGTGCTCATGTGATAGGAACTACAGAGTACTATATATTGGGTGTTTTCTCCATGATTGGAATGGATGAGGAATACATTTTTTTTTTTCCATCTGAGATGGAGATCTACAAGATGCCTTGTAGATCTATAGTAAGGACAACCCATATGATGATTTTTACTACACAGTTAGTTTAAGGAAAAGCTTTTGAATTTGAGTTGTTGAGAAAGGTACTAAGAAGAAAATAATGATATGATAAACAACGTTCATGAAGTTATTCTGACTTGTTTTTTTTTTTTTAACAAAGAAACTATACCTTTTAAAACTTTTATACACAGAATTAATATTAGAGAACAGTTAGGGGTATAAAACTACTGAATATTTATTAACTATGTTTTTTTCAGAATTAAAGAATCAGAATTAAAGAATCTACCTGTGAATGCAGGAGACATACATTTAATCCCCAGGTTGGGAAGATCCCCTGGAGAAGGAAATGGCAACTCATTCAAGTATTCTTGGCCAGGAAATCCCATGGACGGAGATGCCTGGTGGGCTACAGTCCATGAAGTCTCAAAGAGTCGGACACAACTGAGCGACTAAACAATAATAACTTTATACTCTACACTTTAAAGGCATGGTACTGTAGAAAAATTTGGATACCTTTCTAATATTTTGTACCAAGCTGATGTTCTATAAATACTTTTAATGCATTCTTCTTTAAAGAAAAGGGCACTAAATTGTATTCAGATAGTTTTATAGTACAGATCAATGACTGGGTATC